TCGGATGGTTAAGCATGATCTGTTGATCAGTAGTTTGTGATACTGCAACAAAATAAAACTTACAATAATTTTAATCACATCTTTCTTTATTGGTTCCATACTGGAAGCCAATTTAATAATGGATGATCACTTGTCAAAAACCAAACACTTCATGTCTTTCATCACACATTTGTCTGGTCTTGTTGAACTGTCAAGATATTATTAGAGTTAGATATTGAATACTTTCTTTTTTAATAACTCACCATAAACTTATGATATTTAAATAACATAAAAAATATAAAAAACTAACACTTCCAAGACACTGGAGATTATTACATTATAAGATAAATACCAGTGAGGTTTTGAGTTTGACATCTTATGTTCAAGACCTTGAAGTTTTGATTATCATTACTGGTACTTGAATTTGAGGATGTACCCACAAAACAAAGCAATCCAATGAAACTATAAACCAGTTTAAAAGTATAATTTTTTTTTTTAAACATTTTATCATTAATTTTCAATCCCCTAGAAACCACTGGAAATTGATATGGATATCTTATTCTCATCTTTCCAAAATCCCAAGAAGCATGATGCAAATGGTTACTGTATTAATGATAAAAGATACAAAAATACTGTTTTCATAATTATGAAACTTAAGATGGTCAACATGCTTTTCTCATGCTCTGTCAATAGTATTATTATAATGACAAAAACTATGTACAAAGCCTGGATCATGTATGATGCTGTGATAAGCTTAGTCCAAAATGAGGAAGTTTGATAAGATCTTTAATCTTTAAAATATAAGTAACCTTTAACTGTCAATTCACATAACTGGTGCAAAATACAGACAATGAGTAGTGAATGGGTATTGTGAAACAGTATTTTGAAACCATCACCTCCCTACAACTTAGCTAGGTTTAATGTAAGCAGTGATAATGAGGATGGTAGGCTGTAAAAATTACTGCATAGTATCAACATGAGGTATACTAAAAGTTGAAATAATTTGGTCCTAGAAATCAAAATAATAATAATAGTCAGATATTTTCAGCTGTTTCCAAACAGCATCATAAGTAGTTTCAGTTACCATGCACAAAAAATTTACATACCTGTGTATATTTGGGCTAATATTTCATGTTAAAAACTTATTTGCACAAAAAATTAAAAATGAAGATGAGTGTTTTGTATTATTGGATAAAATTATGAACAAAAAATTTATTTTGACATTTATGTATGGATAACTGTGTTTTTATACCTCCTTATTATGAATTAGAATTCATGAGGCATGTTTGCTAAGTATCAAACCAGCACTGAGATTCTACGTATGAAACATTTATACGTGGATAACCATGGTGTTAAACCTCTCTATTATGGGTTAGAGTTCATGTTCCAAGTGTCAAACCGGCAGTGAGATATTAAATATGAAACATCTATTTCAACTTAAGATTTAGATATGGATGGTTCAAATGTTACTGTTTAGTTGAGAAGGAGATTAAGGTAGACACTAAAAGTACCATGTTAAACATTGGAAGCTGTTTTTATGTTTAATGTATGGGACATTCAAATACATGGAACTAATCACAGGTGGGTTGTTGATGGCTTCGTAAATAATCTGTCAAGGTACTCCTGTATAATGAGAATATTACTTGACTGTGAACTTGACTACTGAATGTGCAAGAGCAGATACATGTGATATTAATTACCTGATATTTTTATGTAATGCTATATCTTAATTAGGTTTGTGCATTGCACCTGAAAGGAAAGCAAACAAAAATAATTCAGTTGATGTCTGATCTTATCTGTTAAAGCCATTTTATAATAATATTAATATAAATTAGAACAACATTAATATTTTGTGCACAGGTGGGAATCAAAGTGCATATGCACTATATTTAACAGAGTGTCATTCAACATGGTGTTATGTACTTTATGTCAGAGCTATCAAATATTCAGTACAGAGGTATTGACACATTTAACCTGCAATCAAATTTTAACTGTGTATATAATGTATACTTTCTACACAACAGTATCTTAAAGGGAAGTAGGTGCTCACTTGCATGTTAGAAATTTATCCTCCAAATTTGTATGTAATCTAAAAGTGTTTTGGATGATTAACAGAAACTTTTGCTTGCCAAATTAAACTGTTAATCTACGATACCTTGCTGGAGTATTGGTGTAAAGTATGCTTGCATAATTTTATTTTATTTGTATGTTCATTGATTCATTCTTTCTTTTTTTACATATTTTAAGTAACCACCATAAGCTTAGTGTTTTTGCATACAAATAACTTTTCACTTGCTGAATGGTCATTCACAATTAGCTTTGTATCAGCTATCATCTTTGAATAAGCTAAAATCAGTTCACAGGCAAAGCATTATACCTAACATGACCTAGCTTTTACAGTATTCAGTGTTTATACAGTACTCAAAAGGCAATAAACTTCCTACAGTCAGCAGGAAACTATTATAATTCTTACTGTAAGAAGGTAATTTCATAAATATTTACCTTTGCATAATATAGACATAGATCTAACACTTGATTCATGTTAAAGTATTGTTTGTGTGGTATTATTTATAAAATAATTGTTTATCTTATTTTGTTAAAGTATAAAGTTCCTATATAAATGAATCTTCACATCTGTTTCCTTCTGAAGAAGGAGTTATATAAGGCATTGCAATCCGCAACAGGTTCATCATTCCATATTCAGTAAGGCTGTATGTTGAAAAGATGTGAAAATATGTTGCTGATAGTAAAATATAAGTTGGACGTAGTTCTTGTGCTACTACTCAGTCTTGGTTAATTAAAACAGAAGTGTGTGCTGATGAGGATTAATTGCATTTATAAGAACAAAGCTCTAGCTTTCATGCTACACTTGGAAGTACTTCTTCCACTTGCAGTAATGATCAGTCTGATGGCCATAATTATGCATTATTGTTTAGCATTACATTTTTCGTTGCACCATACTTCCACAAAGAATACTAATTTCTATCATATACCGCACACCTTGAACTTTCCATTGTACATGGTGTCAGCTTGCAAGACCATGTTTAAGGTGACCAAAAGCACATGTGTCTATTAGGGCTACAGTGGGGTGCTAAGCAGGTATATGGTTGAAAAGGATTGCTGTTATTTTGGTTTTTGGGGTGTCTTACACATGAAGATGCATATTGCTGTGAAGTTGTGATATTTTGTAACCATAGTCTTCAATTTATGGGTGAGGGCATTGTGTGGGATTGATTTGAGGTTGGTTTTGGAGCTGTTGCTTTTTTATATGTGCTGTACTGTGAATTTTTTAGTTTTCATGGAGAACATGAAACTCCCTTCTTCTGAATGTAGTGTCCTTTGGCTCAGCATCATTTAATCCTGCTATAAGAATATCTTTCTTCAAAAAAGGGGTGTGACATGTCCATTCAGCTATAAGTACTTATGGTGACATTGCACATCAAATGATTGGACATTTACTGTGAAATATGTTGGTGCTAAACATGCTGTAATCATCACATCTATGGTGGCATACCAGTGTGCAAATCATTCTTATAAAATACCATTAACATATGATATATTACAATAAAATATGATTAGTTATTGTATTGGCCATTTTCCATAATTTGCATTATGATCTATTATTCTCTCCTTTAACTCAAAATTCATTAGATTAGTTTTTCCATGTATACATAAAATTTAATTTTGCATAAGAGACTAGAAATAAAAGAAATAGTTTCTGTACTTTTTTATATGTTGGCTGAAATTGCTTAGACAAATCTTGGATATACAAGACTGTTTAGTGTAAGTGTTATTATTTCATTTATTTGGTGATTTAATATCTAATTTACTTTTCATAACAAGAAGGTTAAAAGTAATTCTTTCAAAGGTGATAGTTATGACAAGTTTGGTTGCGTAACTCTGTACGAGTCGTATGTTGTGTTTGCAGTTATATTGTTGTCTAGGCTTTGCTCTAATTCTTGACGTCACATTACTTGAACCTTCAGTATTTTTCTCGTTGCCTTAACTAAGTATTGTTCAATCAGTGCCGTTAGTGCATTTTACAGAAATTTCCAGGCCTCAGTGATCAACATATAAGTAGAGGCAATCAAATGAAGAAACACTAAAGAAGCAAAGTTCAGTAAAGTTTAGTCAGAAAACAAGAAGTTAGCTGGCATGCGAGTGATTAGATTTAACAGGTGATTTTTGAAAGTGAGTTTCACAATTTGACAAAGATAAGGAGAATAATTTGTCTTGTCAAAAGGTATTCTAAAGTAATTGAACCCATTTGTGTGGACTTTGATGAAAAGGAGACGATTATTTGAAGTTTGAGATACAACTGTGGCAATCCATGAGGTAGCGTAAGTAAATTATTCACTGATATTATTGGGATAAAAGTAGAGAAAAATAGTTCATCTTGTCAGTAGGATTCTAAAATAATTGAATCAGCCTAAGTTGACTTTTGACAAGAAAAAGAGAACTGTTTTGAGTTTGAGATACAACTGTGATATCCATAGTGTAAAGAATTTTTGTACATAGTTTGACTTGTTTTGAATATATTATTTTAAAACAAGTGGAGTGTGTGCTGCTCATTTATTGTCAGATTTATTGCCAACATGTCACAGACACCTACTATAGAAGAATCCTAGCCCTCTACACAAAATCCTGACAACAAAGTTTACTGTTATCCTGGAGAAGCTTTTAAATAAAATACTGATCAGGAGCTTTATTCAGCTATCTTTAACAATTTTCTGTTCATGGAATAACATATAGGAGTTACACTGATAAAATATTGATTACCATTGTTGATACTATTTCACATTTTCAGATATTGGTGAAAACTAGAGGCTGATGTCTTAGTGAATTCTAAATCTGTCCAATTAAAATGCTGTGGTAGTATGTTTCTTGAAGCAATAGCAGATGTTAATAATATTTATAAATGTAAGAAAACACAGTAGAATTTTCCTTGAAGCATTTTAAAAAATTGTCTGACTGCATACATTATATTTTGTACATATCTAAGTGTTATTTATTTATGACAGATAAATCAGCATTTGACAGTGTAGAGATTTCTCCTGACAAACTCACCCATCTAACAGCTAGTAGGGCTAGAGCACCCAATCGCAGGCCTTTTTCCCAGTTTATTCGCAGAAATGTAGTAAGTTCTTTATAAAGTTTTTTTGGTTACATAAACATGAAGATCATGATTAATTATTATTCAGAAAAGCTATCTTTTTTTTCCATCTTTATATTGATTAACATAAGTGTTGACTAAACAATTGATCAGTTATGATCGAAGTAAAACAGAGAGTTAGTAGACAGTTAATTTTGTATGTGTGTTTGTCATGAATAAAAAAACTAACTTTTCTTATCACAATATAATATTTTTCAGATTAGCTGAATTGACTATATAACAGAAAAACAAAATCCTTTTATTATTTCAACATATAAATTTTGACATTTTTAATTTTTGTCCCTAAAGCAGAACATATTTTTTATTGTTTTACTAGTATTACACATCATATAAAGGTTTTCTTTGCCCTTGTTTATATGTTAACATTGTTTCAGTATTTAATGTTCTTTATTTTTCATTTTATTTACAGGGAAGAGAAAATGGTGATATAAGTTCAGAGCAACCATCTTGGATAGGTGAACTAATAAAAACCCAGTCTAAACATGCTAGTCAATGCTACACAGATACTAAAGACAGTAAAGTAAGATTTATTTCAAATGTCCCTCAATTCATAACACTGTGCTTGTATATGAAATAGTTTTTTAAGAATGTATAATTGTGCTAATGAGTCTTTTTTTTTGTCTTTTTTATCTTCAATTTTTTGTTTTTGTTTTAATTAGCTGAAACAAGACATTTTGATGATCATATTTGTGAATCAAGGCCTACAAATGAATTTCCTTCTATTGTATTCTCTGAATAGGGTAATTTTTCAGAAGAAAGAAAATTGAAACCAAATAGGGTTTAAACATTCCAGTGTTTCAGGGATAAATGCTTTAAAGAACTAAACTTCTGTGCTCAAGTATTGAAAACTCCAGTCTTTTCTTCATTGTTTTATTAAAATTGAAACTGGAAGATTTCTTACCTGACATTTTTTTTTCTCAACTTGAAATCTACTTTTTGCCACTTTTGGTAGGATATACAAAAATTAAGTTTTAACTGAATAGGAAATGTTAATAATGGTACTAACTGGAAATATTTTTGGCTGAAGCACCTGCCCAGCAAGTAGTGGCATAGTTTCACTTTAATTTTTTATATGATTTAAAATTGCATATAGGTTGATGTGACACTATTAACCTTTTAAATTGTTTTATAATTCCAATGAAAAATGGCAGAATAGCAATTCTGAGGATTAGCATGCTTTAAGAACCTTACTAATCTCAGTTCTAATAAACTAAGAAGTGATGGCTGAGACTTGTAGCATTTGATTCTAATGGTCTTATTGATGAAAAGCATATCCCTAGAAAATAATCTTATACCAATAATATTTCATAAAATTGAAAAAGGGGCTTTCAAACTATAAGTAAAATTAAAAGTACATTTTGCGAACCATGGTGGTTCTTCGAGCATTCATCTATCTTTTGTTTGAAAAGCTGCGCACACAGGCATAGCTCAAATACATTTTTGAAATGATGGGAGAACAAGCATGAATAATGTTGATACCAAATTTCATTTCACAAGCAAGATATTCTACTCTAAATTGTTAGGAATTAATCACACTATCACTCACATTTCAAAATGTGATGTAACTTAAAAATGCAAATGTAGATTTACCATATACTATTGTAGAGCAGCTCTTAGCATGACTGAAATGCTCAACAGTTACTTTTTGCAGTGGGTAGTATAAGTAGCTCAGAGCTTTGGCTCTGAGTGAAACCAAGAGTGCAACACAATTAACCTTTTTAAAGTACATGAAATAATTTAAATTGATAGATTAACTTAAACTTTTCCTATCACTAGGGATGGGTACTTTGACTTGTATATGAATAAAAACTAATTTAATAACATTTTGAGCATGCACTCTTTCTAAGACTTTTCTACTTTGATTTAAGCCTGACAAAAGGTATATCTTCAAAAATAATAATATGGAAAAAAGTTTTAACTAAAATATGTTTTAACCTTGTTTACTTATGTGAGTGCTTAGGAAACAAGCAAACTTTAAATGTATAAACTTGTGCATGTGTAAAATTTAAATAATTATTAGGGAATTAGCATTATATTACATTGTACTGTTTATTTTTTTTTAGCAGAAGTGACATTGAAAAATGACACCAGTTGGTATAAGTTTTTTAAGTTCCATTTTACAGTTAAAGTAACACTTTTGTTTATTGTATGTCTTAATAATAACTGAAGATCTAGTGAAATGGGATAATTTTATGCAATGGCTCTTTTACATTATACATGTATTGATCATGATTGCAGAAGTGGTGAAACAGATTAGATAATATACACCTGGAAAAAAGTTAAGCACCCCCGTGTTTTTTTCAAGTGATTCAGATTCGACATTCTTGTGACTGATTATAAATTACCATTCAATCTAAACGTGTTTATCAAATGAAATTATGCATTATTGGGCACAAGAAAACAAGATTATCACCATAAAATAACAATTTTAAATTTACATATCATGACATCAAAATATGGACAGTTTTCACGCTTAAAAATTATCTTTAATAAGTATTGTCAGTG